GTTTTGTGGGGGGGGGGGGGGGGGGGGGGGGGGGCAGGTTGCGGAAGAACTCTTGCAAGTGTTTGGTCTTGGGTGATGCTGTAAATAGGGGTTTCGGGGCATGTGAATTTAAAAAAAAAAAACCAAACCAACAACCCTTAACGCTGTAAGATTTTTACTTGGTGCAACTTAAACTCTCGCAAGGAGGAAACTGCAGATCAGAACTTGTCTGAAATCAGTTATGCTCCTCTGAAAGATGACAAACATCCGCAAACTTTCGGGGTTTGTTTTTTTTTCTGTATTCAGAGGAAAAACTCGAACCTCCCCAGGCCATGAATGCACTGATGAAACTAAACCAGCTAAAACCTGGGCTCCAGTACAAACTCGTCTCTCAGACCGGTCCCGTTCACGCTCCTATCTTTACAATGTCTGTGGAAATCGATGGCAGCACGTTTGAGGCATCGGGGCCTTCCAAAAAGACGGCCAAATTGCACGTGGCGGTGAAGGTAAGAGCTGTGTACGTAAATCCCTGCCGGAGGGCTCTCGTTAAGAGGCAGTTTGATTGCTGACCTCTTCAAGTTGCAAAGGGCAACCAGATCGATGGGGCTGACGGTCATGACGACGACCGCGCGTGAGAAATGTCAGAAACCCTTCCGGACAGAGAGGGGAGAAGTTAACCACCAAGGCAGCGTGGTCCGTTGCGCGTAAAGTCTCAGGGCAGAGGACTTCATGCCTCTTGGGTCTTGAAGTGCCTGCGGGATTTGGGGAATGCCTGGCACTCGAACAGAACTAATAAACGGAGCCTTGAGCAGCCTTCTCCAGTATTTACCCCAGACTGGGTAGGGCACGTGAGAGCCAGAGGTTCTTTGAGGGACGCGCTGTTTGGTAATCTCCTCTCCAACTCTCCTTACCCTAGGTCTTGCAAGATATGGGTTTACCCACAGGAGTGGAAGGCAAAGAATCTGGGAAAGGAGACGAATCGGCAGAGGAAACGGAACAGAAGCCAGTCGTCGTTGCTCCTCCTCCTGTAGTAGAAACTGTCTCGACGCCCACGGCTGCTTCTCCTCCTTCAGATCAAACCCCAGAGGTGAGCGCGGTCGCAGAGGGGGAAACGGGCCGCTCTGATTCTTTGGGACGATGCTGTAGGACATCACCAGAAGCGCCTTTTAGCAGCAGGTTCTATAACAGCGTACCGTACAGTTCAGTTACTGTGACGGCGCAATTTAAGAGATGAAAGCATCAGGCAAGCTTATTCCAAGCTTATCTCCTTTAAGAGGTTTTCCAAAGTACGTGTTTTGGAAGCAACTTCAGGTCCGGTAGGGTTTTTCTTGGAGTTTCATCACTGCTTCTCTGCTTCCAGAATGTGAAACAACAGGGACCAATTCTGACGAAGCACGGCAAGAATCCCGTGATGGAGCTTAACGAGAAACGGCGTGGGCTGAAATACGAACTGATTTCAGAAACGGGTGGCAGCCACGACAAGCGCTTTGTCATGGAGGTGAGGCGACTTCTGGCCCTCTCTCTGTGCCTTTGTCCTGGCTCGGGTATCCGTAACTTCACAGCCTTAGTAAGAATTTAAAACCGTAAGATCACAGAATGGTTTGGGTTGGAAGGGACCTTTTAAAGATCATCTAGGGGGCAGGGACGTTTCCGCTAGAGCAGGTTGCTCGGAGCCCGTCCAACCTGACCTTGAACACTTCCAACTTCTGGAATTGTCTGCAGGCACCAGAAAAAATGGTTAATTTTGCCAAGCGGCAGCTTCTGTTCCTGCCCTTTCCGCTTACGCGCAATGATTTAATCCCTTTCAAAGGTGGAGGTTGACGGGCAGAAATTCCAAGGAGCCGGTTCAAATAAAAAGGTGGCAAAAGCCTACGCTGCTCTGGCCGCGCTAGAGAAGTTGTTTCCAGATGCTCCGGTTGCCATTGAGCAAAACAAGAAGAAGAGAGCCCCCGTGCCAGCTAGGGGAGGACCCAAGTTTGCGGTGAAAGTAAGTAAATTCGCAATTTGGCGGCTCTGTGGTGTGACTACCAGTTCCGTGGTACCGTTGCCTCCTGCTCTATGGTTTTAATCCCGTCTTGGGAGGGGAAATAGTTGAAGGCGTGGAGGGAAACCGGGATCTGCTAAGGGCCATTGGGCTTGAAAGCAGAAATACCATCGAGTTTTACAGAAAACCGCCCCTGTTTTCTGGAGATTACCCTTATTTGGTACCCACCCCCATCGCTTTTGGCTTAGCCCCTCTTCCTTTCGAGGCAGACGGGTACCCGCCGTGTTCTGGAGCTCGGGACGTCCTTTTGAAAGGTTTGTTTTCACCCCGGAGGCAAGGCGCTGCGGTTCGGAAGCCAGAGCTGGGTAACGCGTCTCTCTTCCCTCAGCAGCACAACCCGGGTTTCGGAATGGGAGGCCCCATGCACAACGAAGTGCCCCCTCCGCCCAACATGCGCGGTCGTGGAAGAGGCGGCAACATCCGAGGCCGCGGGAGAGGCAGGGGTGGATTCGGCGGCAATCACGGCGGCTACATGAATGCAGGTGAGATGCTGCCTGCCGCCTCCTCCTGACTCTTTCCACGCTGAACGTACCGCAAACTACCCAAACCCCCGAGAGGCGAATTCATCCCCTCTAGCCTTTTGTCGTGTCCCGTAGCGTGACGGGAAATACGAGGCCTTTGCGTGCTTCGATTTCCTCTTATTTAAACGTTTTCTTCTAACCTAGGTGCTGGATACGGAAGCTATGGTTACGGAGGAAATTCGGCGACAGCAGGCTATAGTAAGTGTTTCTCATCTTAAATTTCGAAACGCGTCGATCTGCTGGGGGTGTGAAACTCGGACTGGGTTGCACCGTGCGGTGGTGCGCTTACGCTGAAGCCCTCTCGAGGGATTCTCTTTTTTTTGAATGAGAAGTAATGAAAGATGGCTCGTGTACTCGTTTAAAAGTTAAAACGCGAATCCAGGTGACTTCAGGTTTCCTCTAAAACTGTGAATATTTTAAATTTCTCTGCTTTAAGCCATGTGAAGCTATCGGCCACACTTTTGAATGTGATTTTCCTGAAAATACACCGCGATTGGTCTTGAGAAGAAGCCTTCATTGGGGGGTGACAGGAGCAGAGAAATCTAAAACATGACTTTCAAATGTGGCGCATTTTGCCATCTTCAAAAGAATTCTAATTTTTTTTCTCTGCTCTGTCTCCCCCTTTTGTAGGTGACTTTTTCACAGACTGCTACGGCTATCATGATTTTGGGTCTTCCTAGATCATCCAAAAGTATTGCACAAAAAACAGCTTTTTACTCCAATTTTCTTGAACTCCAAAACCCAAAGTGTCCGTGCTGTGTCCCTGTGCTTCACTGGGTTTCTCAACAGTGGCTTTTCACCGCAGCTTGTCTGAAACTCTCTTAGCCTGCAGAACTTAAGACAGTGGCAGTTTTTATTGTGATTTGCCTTTGAACTTGGTTGTATCGATGTACACAACAGGGGGAACCAATTATCCGAGAACGGTTTTGTGCACCTCGCACAAATTTCCAAGCCAGCTCCGTTCAGCGCAAAGGCAAAAAGCCCATCTTTGCTTTTTATGGAAAGCATTACTTTATTTTTAAGAAACTGAAGTGTTTTAATCTACCTTTGTCTTAATTTACAGCAGGTTTTGTACAAAATTTGAGCCTTTTAATAAACCCCAGCAGTTGGGTACACGCCTCTCGATATCGGGAAGACTTTTCAACATCTCTGAATATAGGACAGCCCGGCTTTTTAAGCATGCGAAATGTTGACTTGTACGTGGAATCGTGTGTGCTAAAATTTAATCCTACATCCTCTGTAACACGCTGGTGGATTAACGCTGAGGGATGTGACTTGTTGTGGCTGGTAGCTAGTGTACTTTCAAAGGTATTGTAATTGTGCTTCCGATCCTGATACAATAAATACCCAGGCATCAGGGGTTAGCGTAAACATGTTAGTAACTTCTGGAAACGCACGGATCCGTTCGCTAACGTGAAAATGGGCTTTCTTGAGCCAAGCATAAAGGGCCCAAAGCACCTCACGGCAAAGCTCCGCTGGCTGCGGGCTCGGCGGCCGCGCTGAAGAACGCTCGTTGCTCTAAAAGTACTTAATCGCCTGGAGAATTAACGTTTCGCCGGAATCGGGAATTGCGGGGAATTTCGCAATTGGCCAGTCGAGACCCCAGCCTCTGAATTCCAAGTCTTTGGTCCTTTATTCTTGCTGCGGGATTTGTTTTTAAAACTGTATTTTGTTTGTCACTGTTCTTTAGCTGCAAAGCCTGCACCGTTGCATTGGTTTAACCTGCGAGGCTCGACGACATTCGAGTTAACTCGGTGATTGATTAAACTAGCGAAACAAAAGCAAAGCGAAACAAAAAACCTCTGACCTACGAAGCACCAGGTTTTTAAAAGGGGGGGAAAAAAAAAAGGTCCAAGGTGTTTAGCAGATACTTAAATTCATAATAGTAATGCATGCCCTATTTTTTTTAGAAAGCTGTTGTTTGAGATAATGACCTTTTTATACAAGGGAGTAGATCCTGTCCTGAATGAGGTGGGAAAACTGCCGCTTTTTAAGCGACTACGCGTTAGAGTAACTACTTGTGTGCTGGATATTTTTATTCCTTAGCTTTGATTCGGGGAAAGTCGAAAATAATCCGATGCCAAACAGCATTAAAACTTCATAGTTAAATATGAAGTGTTGGTTTAAAATGGAAATTCCAGAAATACTGACTCGGGAGAGACCAACTTCCAGCATCCGCAGCTTTGAATTTACACGGTGCCAGTCGTAACCCCTCGCTCCGGAGAAGCCCCCGCGCTCGAACCAAAGACGGGGCTTTTAATACAAGTGACGGAGCGAGGCGTCTCTCGTTCAGCGGAGAAATATTTTTGCTACAACCGTGGCATTCTTGGCTGGAGGTAAATTTAGGACAGAACCTCGTTTCCGCACAACTAAATCGCGGTCTTCTGCGGAAGAGGGGGGGGGGAAAAAAAGTCTTGCCTAGAGAGTCTTACTGTAGCGCAGGGGGCGTAGACAAGAACTGATGAAACGCTCAAAAAAATTAAAAGCTGGGTGCCGTGAAGAGCCGCGGCTCTTCACAACACACCGGATTTAGGAACTGCGCTGGGGTTCGCCTTCACCACGAGTCGTCCTGGTAGCTGCCCGGGGAATTGCGGAAGCAAAGGGCACGAGGTTTTTACTCTTTGTCTCCTTTTTAACTAAATTCTCCCCCACCTCTCCTCCGTTTCAGAGGAGGCGCTGGCACGTCTTCCCCTCTTCTAGAGGTGTAGCTCCGTCCCCCGAGCGCACACGCCACGACAGACACTGGTGCAGGTTTTTAGTTAGATTCTAGGGGCTTTTCTTCCTCGACAATAAGTTTAGTTTCGAATAGGGCAAGTCTGACTGTAGGGTAAGCCTTCTCCCACTGAGCCCAGCGCGAAGAAAGCCCCGAAGTTCAACTTGTGGAAACGGGGCAGGAAAAGAATCGCTCGAAGAGCTTGACTGTAGTACTCTTGATAAATAAAATTAAACCCAGACTAACTCTCGACTACGTACAGTGCTGTCGCACCCGGGCTCTCGGGGGTGGTTTTGATCCGTTAGAGGTTTTCGGTAACCGTGGATCCCAGATGTAGTACCCGAATTCCGAGGTAACTAGGATTGAGCTGTGCACGCACGTCTTGATTTCCGTCGGATCGTTGCTGCTCGCTCACCGTGTAAATCCAGACGGGTGGCTCGCTGCGGTTAGAGCGATCCGCGTGGATGTTGACGGAATTCCTCATTACGGGAACGGGATTCTTCCTCGTTACCGTGCCTCTCGGCTGCGGAGACCGAGCAGCAGCTGCCGTTGATGGCTGACTTGTCTCAAATGTAGTTTGAGCCCCAGATTTTAAATCTTTGTAGAGCGTCGAAGTAATAACTGTTAGTTGTTGTAACATGCATTAAAGAAACTGTCGTAGCCCTGAGCTTAGTCCTAAACGTTGGGGTCGTACTGGAATTAAAGCTGTGGGAGGACTGGCTGGGCGTCGTTCCCTGCGATTTCAGGGTGACCGGGACGATGGTACGATGTCGATGTATTTCACGATTCCCTGTCCGCTTAAACGAACAAGATGTTTCACCTCTCGGCCTCGTGTGCAGTTTCTTAAGCCTTTCGCCAGCCCGGAGAGCAAACCGCTCCTAAACCCTCGCGTTCGCGAGGGTAAAAATCTCGTCGTCTTACGAGCCTTGGTCTTTAAAACAGGGCCGAGCGTGCCTGCCCCCCGCCCCGAAATGCTGCCGCTGTTTGGGGCCGAGCCTCTCCTCTCTGTTTAGCCCATTTCTACAGCACCGGCGGCCACTCCAACTCGGGGAGCGGCGGCGGAGGCGGCGGCGGCGGCGGCTCCTCCGGCTACGGCTCCTACTACCAGGGCGGCGATAACTACAACTCGCCGGTTCCTCCCCAATCCCCGCCCCCCCCGCCTACGGCTCCTACTACCAGGGCGGCGATAACTACAACTCGCCGGTTCCTCCCAAACACGGCGGAAAGAAACAGCAGCACGGAGGGCAGCAAAAACCTTCCTACGGTTCGGGGTATCAGTCCCACCAGGGCCAGCAGCAGCAGTCCTACAACCAGAACCAGTACAGTAACTACGGCCCGCCGCAGGGCAAACAGAAAGGCTACAACCACGGCCAAGGCAACTATTCCTCCTACTCCAATTCCTACAACTCGCCCGGCGGCGGAGGCTCCGATTACAACTACGAGAGCAAATTCAGTGAGTGCTGGCTTGCTTATCTGGGGCGTAAAATGTGAATTTGAGGTAATTGGGAAACACGCGCGCTCTGTAGGCGCTTGGCCCTGCACAAAGGAATAACTTAATCGGGCCCGTAGCCCCGGGCCGAGGGGGAACGGTTCCGAACGAAGAGAGGGGAGATTCAGACCGGACCCAAGGCCGGAATTCTTTACGCCGAGGGCGGCGAGAGGCCGGCCCGGCTCGCCCGGAGAGGCGGTGGGTGCCCCCTCCCTGGAAACGTTCAAACGTTCAAGGTGAGGTCGGGGGGGGCTGCGAGCGACCCGATGGGGGCGAAGACGTCCCCGCCCGCGGCGGGGGGGTGGGAGGGTTGGACTGGATGAGCTCCGAGGTCCCTTCCCACCCGAACCGCCCCGCGATGCCACAAACTCGGAGGGCTTAAAGCGCTCGGGTTTAGTTGATTTAATTGGATGAGATCAACAACTGGCCGGGAAACCTGCTGGTCTCCTGCTCCCCGAGGAGAGAGATGCGCTCGCGTTTTGGAGGATGAAGGTGGAATTGCCCGCTCTGCTCCGAGTTACTATTTCGTGATCGAGTCTTTGCTTTCTGTGTCGGCTAGGTGAGCGCTTAGGATCTGCGCGCTCCTCGGCGTGGATCGTCCGTGCTCATGCAGGCCGTGGGGAAACCCCACCGCTGCCCCGACAGCCGGGGCTCTGCGTGGCGCTTTTAGCAGCCCAAGGAGACGGGAAGAGGGAGAGCTTTTGCTCGTTGAGGCCCTGGCCGTCGCCTCGCCTCGAATAATCGTCCCTTCCCCTGCTAACAGCAGACGAAACCCCCTCGCTGGGCGCCGGCGAAGGCAGAGCTGCCGCCGGGGGAGACCGGCCGTGCTCACCGCGTTCTCCCTTCCAGGTTACGGCGGCAACAGCGGCCGCGGAGGCGGAGGAAATAACTACTCGGGAGGCGCCTCCTACAACACCGGTTCACACGGTGGCTATGGGGGAGGATCTGGGGGCGGAGGGTCCTCGTACCAAGGTAAGCAAGGTCAGTATACGACACTTCCCTATATATTTTTCTGTGGGAGGGCAGCGTCTGTACATCTGCGCGCGCTCTTGCCGTGGCAGCGGGTCCCGGCTCGGAGCAAAAGCTCTGATTCTGCGTTAAAACAGCTTTTTCTTTCACGCCGCCATCGTAACCGAGCTTCTCTCTCCCTTCTCCCCCC